TCAACACCATTTTATAATTTTCTGAAAATAGCACAAAGCCATATCTAGGATAATTTAAAGGTCTTAAGAGGTAACTCTCTTATGGTGGTGTGATCATGTTTTTTAGGCAAAGATATTTGAAACACTTGATGAACCTGCATAAGACTTGACCTACGAAGAGACAATCCTTACCTCACTACTTGACCTATCAGCAGACAGAACCAATCACTACATCATCATTCTGCCTAAAGATCCAAACAACAATCCACCACATGTAAATGAGATGAACATAAGAGATCCACCAAAGCGTGTATCATCTCAACTTGCATCTTGATCAGCACCTAATCGACAAGCTAGAACAAAACAGATTGAGCTTTTTAGTTTTTTTTTTTTATTATATTATAAAAAGGATGACAAATTAAAAAGATTAAAGAGGAATAAGAAACAAAGCAGCCTGACAAAAGGGAAGTGTGTTGCCCATGTTGGTGGTCGAAAGCAATGGTCTAATGGGGCACGTGAGACAAATGCCTAAATTCCATGCATGCATGCTTTCTTGCCTCGCCATTTCCACTATTAAAGATAGATTACTTCTCTATAGTTTGGAGGATTATGTTTCGCTTCACTAAACTCTATACTTCCCACTTAACAACATTACCTTTGCATTCTAAATTTGTGATAAATTTGGCTTTCTTCTTTTACTCAACATGGTGGCTTTTGAAAATTAACAATTTTATAGTGTGGTTGTAAATCTATATTACAAAATTCGAAGAACTACGACACATGTTCAAGTCTTAGTTGTTACATTATTTATTGTCATAATCCTTAAAAAATTTACTTTATAAAATGAATGAAGGATAAAAATGTTTTGTGAAAGCATTTTAATCTTGTAGTCGTGAACATGCCTCGCAGCCACTACATAAATTGGGTACTCTTTCGTTTGGTCTCAGTGCTTGCAAGTTGTTAATCTGTATGTGTCAGCAAAACAAATCTCCTATTTTCAGGATCAAATATTTTTTTATCAAAAAAATTATGACAAAAATATCAAAAACTATTTTTAAAAATTTAAAACACAATGATTATGACTGTACAAGTTCTACCAAAGTATAAAAGATTATATTGTATATTAAAGTCGATATCGTAGGTTTTACCGGTATTTTTTTGTAAGTCAAGAGTAAATTTGTAAAAAATAAATAAATTGGAAGGTTCTATTGTAAAGACTTTTTTCACAAGAAAATATACAGGTTTTTACCGCTGAAAACATAGAAAAATTGTAGGAAACAGAGTAACTGACGATTTTTACAATTTTTCTACGAAAAAAGTTTGTAAGAATTGTTCCGTAGAAAAATTATTTTGATAAAAATGTAGAATATTTAAATTTGGTCTATGATTTCATCAAAATTTTGAATAACTCTAGTCGATTTGTGTGTTTAAAACTAAACGATACCATATTACTGTATTACTCACCTAGATATAACCTAATATACTTTCCAACTAAATTTAAAGATAATTTTCAAAATAATAGCTTCTGTTAAGTATATATATCATTACAAAATTGCTTCTTGTTAGTATGATATAATTTCCCAATAAGGTTTGATTATTTATTTTTCATTTTTTGGCCGAGAAGAAGCTCATTGCCCTTAATTAAGCATTTCTCCTTGGAATAGAGATTTTCACATTTTATTCCAAAACAAAAGTAGTGAAGTAGAATATTTTCATCAATCGACTGACTACAATAGGTTCATCTAGCGTACCATACAAAAAATGCTATAATATGTAGTGGAGTTTTATAAATCAAATAGTGGATTGTCATAACCAAATCCGGTCCGGTCCATAAGTCAAGTCCGGTCCAGTCCATAACCAAGTCCGACCCATCTGTTTATTAGACGGCTAAACTCTTTTCCTAATCATATTAGGTTTTGCTTGTATTTATCTTTATATAAAAGACTCATAACTTATAAATAAAGACACTCACAAATTTTCTCTCTAGTTTACAACAGTGGAGCTATTATACCATTTTGCATTGTGCTGCTAATGCCCAAATTTCTTGTAGTGATCCATGCTACTTTCGAGCAAAACCAAAATTAATTGTGCAAGGCGTAATAACTCTTGAATTATTATTTTTTTACTTAATCTTCACATGATCACATATTCACATACATATATAACAACACATACAAATCAAAAGACATGTCTGTTTAAACCACCTGTCAACGATCCATATGACTATATAGTATCTTATTGTTTTTGGTTTCTTTAATAATAATATTTGTAGCAGTCCACATATATTTCAGATTGAGGTCAACGTTTTAGTTATAATGCCTTGGATGTTTCCTGTTGCATTACAAAGCATGTTGCCGTTATTAAAAAAAACACAACATTGCGTAAACAATTTTATAGGTAGAAAGATTGATTAAAGAACATGAATACATGATCATATAATGATTTAAAGAAAAATAAAGATAGGAACCGTCATACACCGCCATAAGATCTTGGGAAGATTTGAAGTTCGTGTATAGACTTCATTCACGTGCACCTTCTCCCTTTCCTCTTCATTTCCTCATCATTCATCATCGTCTTGTTTCTGTCTTTTTCTTCACTATCCATTTTTTAAAGAATCATTTTGGTTGTTCTTTATCATTTAGGTACGGCGAACATCCGAACATGTATTTCTACTTTTCTATAAGGTCTTTTTTAGGTGGGCTTGGATCGGGTATTTCGAGTTTTCGGGTTTAAAAGTATCCGTTTGAGTATTTTTTATGTTTTGGATTTGGATTGGCTATTTGGGTTCGGATTTGAATTTCCGAAAACTCATAATTTTAATATCAAAATATGTCCAAACTACTAAAAAATATAGATATAAAGTATTTCAAAACCTTGTATATATTTTACCAAATTTACTAAAAAGTTACTTTAATATTAAAAATCTATCAAAATATACAAAAACATGAATATTTTGGACGCTTAGATTATTACAAATATAAATATTACTAATGTATTATTACCGTATTATATTGTGGGTCAGTTTAGGTGTTTGTTTAAGTATAAGTTCGGATCAGATTCAAATTTTCGCGTTTTGAGATTCAGAACACGTTCGGATATTTTAAAATTCGAATTCTGATTTCGATCAGTTCCTCGGGTTCAGGTTCGGATATTTTGCTGAGACCTAAAAACCATTGATCAGATGACAGGACCAAACTAAAAACCATGTTCAAATAAAGTAATGGAAAGGAATAAAACAATGTGGTAGAAGAAGAGAATAGAGGTGGCGTGTGGTGGAGTAGTGTGGCAGAACTTGTTTCCAGTTAACAAGTCGTTGCTGCTTCTTTCGTAGGAATTGAGTTTCCCCCACATATCCATTCTCCTCATATTAATTTTAAATTATCCCATCTTATATTTTAATTTTTATATTTATATATACAAACATGTATAAAGCTCTCTTTTTTTTCTTTTTCTGGTCGATCTATTATGTAAACGATATACATAATACGTTGAAAACTAACATAACAAGCTTCTTATTATGCCCATATAATCTTCGAAACTTATATTATCGATCAAATAATTCAACTAAATATGGATAGTTATATTCACATATTAATTAAAAAAAGATTGGAATGGAATTACATATTCTTGATAACTCACATATTGATAACTCACAAATTCTTGATAATTCTTGATGAAACAAGATTGAAACAAGATTCACATATTGTTTTTTTTTTTGTTTCTTTTGGAATAACTAGAAAGTCTTTTCATACTTAAAAACAGAACATATTATATGATTTTGTTAGTCATTCGTTCATGATCTCTATGTTTCTATCAACAAAAATTATCAATTAAACTATTAACTCTCGATTCTCGATAATTAGTTATATAACAAAAAATTAAACAATCAATCATTCGATATATGGATATAGTTCATTTAGTTTTTAATATATTGTAACAATAGTTATATTCACATATTCATATTATCATATAAATAACGATTGAAATGAAATTACAAATTCTTGATAACTCAACAAACAATCAGAATCATTCGATATTATTTATATATTTAGTTGACCATAATGGTGATTAACGCAGACTTCGATTACATTACAGGCAACCAAACTGAAAAAAAAACCAATCATCATTATAAAAGAATCTGAGGGAAGTTTCTGTTATATTTCGTTTGCATGTGCATTTATATAAAAAAGAAATGCAATTGAATATTCCAACAAATATGAACAATCCACAAAGTGTACGCAATGAGTATCCGTACTCATCTTAAGTCTAGGTACAACAAGGCATCGATCGAGTCAGTCACACACAAAAAAAAAAAGAAAAAAAAAAAGTACACTCAAGTCTTTAAGAAAATGAAAATATATGCTTCACTAAGCATATTAAAATTTAATATTGGCACGTAATTATTGGGATGATTAGATTATTACACCTCCACTCTCTAATCATTCAAAGTTGTTTTATGTTCTTTGACCAATTGTAGTTGATTTGGCAAACATATATTAAACTTTTATGTTTCCATTACAGCTATAGTTTTAAGTATTTTGTTGAGAGGATATTTTAGGAGAGTGGTTTAGTATCATCTGGTTAATCTAAGTTTAAATCGAGTATAAATCAATAAATATGGGTGTATTTGGTTTAGTATTCGATTTAATCATGTTTTGTTAGCTCAATACCCACCTAAAGAAGAGAATAAGAGAAGATAAAAATAAAATTCGATCGTATGTAATAAATCGACTCGGGAAAGATTTACCTCGAAAGAAAAAGTATTAGAACATATCCTCGAGAAGGACAATCCCCTCGTATAAATTGAGAACAGGACAACTGAGTAAGACCATCTCCAATGTAGATCTCTAATTTTTACTTTAAAAATTAGCATTGTTAGTGTAAAATAATAAAGTAGAAAATAGAATTACTATACTCCATAATTTACTCTATTTTAATTTGTAAAGCAATCTACATTTACATGTATACTGTATTAAGATTTTTGAAGTACCTTTAGGAAAGTAACCTTTTATATTGTATAATTTGCAATCATAAACAATTGCCATTTCTTTAAGTTTTAAGATCCAGTACACTTATTAATGCTGATATGCATTTTTCTAAAACAAAAAATAAATAAAAATGTTCTTTGAGAAAAAAAAACATTGTGCCAAGCGAAACTAAAAGCTCTACAGCTAATAATCCACACATTGTGGAACTAAAACTTCTAAAAGAGTAACACAACACAACTATGTTTTTTTTTTCTGAGGTAACCTCATGTTTCCATCTCACATCCCTTCAAAGTATTACTGATGCACGTCTTGTGACGTTCCAACACTCTATGGTCTCTTCAAGTACCTGTCTCAAGTTGCAACAAAATTTACAAATCAGCATAAGAATCTTAAGAGCAGAATGATTCATTGAGCTTAGTCGCAAAACATTCCTAACTATCAATTCTGCTTCCCCATCATTGCGTTATCATAAATTATGGTTTCTTCTCGTTATCGATTCTTCATGGAATCTAGCATTCTTTTGTATGATAACCAAGACAGACAACTCAAAGGGTGCAGAGTAAAAAGAAACAAAATCCAAGAGGTGTATATCAAAAGCAACAAGAGTCCATCTTTATTAAGCCAAGCCATAGACTGTCTCTGCACAATGCAGTTTATTTGAACAACCATGTTGCAACACTTATCTTTTAGCTTTAAATCAAAGAATCAAACTGACTGTTCTAAATGAACAAAATGTTTCTTATTCAGAGCTACAAAAAAAGACTTTGCTTTGTCTATTACGCCAACACAATGCGAAAGGAAACAGAGTCTAAATCTCTCGGCAAGAAACCTACAATGCAGAATCACTCTCTTGCCCGCAACGTAAAATCAAATGCATCACCCATCTTTTCCAATTCCTATCAAATCAAATCCCAAACCCAAAATTGTTCTTTACCACAAAGGTCACAAGTCAAGAAGTGAACAACCAAACCACTTAGTAGTTAATCCTACTCAAACAAAGAACTGTAACAACATCAACGCGCAAAGAAGCTCCACAGTATATTAAACATTCATAAAACCAACTCATCTCCCAAATGTTCCTATAGATTCATTCCTAAGTAAAGTAAACACTCACAAAGAGGACTACTAGCGATCCTGACAAGTGCGTTGGAAGGTACCGTTAGACAGCTCGCAGAAAGCTCGCAAATTAACATTAAGGTGAGATGTGAGTTGAGAAGCAGCCACAACACTGTACAGAGGCAAAAACGACTGTGTGCAACCAAGTACTCCTAGGTTCCTGAAGATATTCACAAAACCAACATCAGATTCTTCTAATTCCAAACACTAAACGTATAATCAAAGATCAATGAAGCTACGAATCTCAAATGTTGATTGAACATTTTCAAAATTGGGATACGAGAAACTTCAATTCCACGAAATCAATATCGATTTTGATCATATTCTAATGAAATCGATCAAGAGACTATGAAGGAGGAGCTTGGTTACAAACCTGGAAGGTGATGAAAAGGTGAAGCGACGGGAGGATTGAGGAGGACGGAGACGAGGGAGCGCCGTCGTCGGAGATCGGAGAGACGGTGATCTAGCGGTGGCGGAGACGAACGAGCGAGCAGCAGAACCTGCACTGCGCCAAGCCATTGTGTAAGGAGAAGTGAATCGAGAGAGAGAGAGAGAGTGAAGAGGTTTTTGCTAGGGTTTACGGGGAAATGAATAGTGATGGTTGTATGGATGTTCAGTGTGGTGCACCGTAGGGGATAATTTACACCAGATGCTAAATTGGTAGCCCAAACATTTTATTATATTGGGCTTAGAATTGAGTTAAATCTGAGCTATTCTAGGCCCATTATACATACAAATATTGTGACAATTACCATATGTATGTATAATGGGCCTAGAATAGCCCATTAAAATTTTTAATTTAAGCTTTAAAGAATATTAAAAAATAATTAAACTCTACAAAAAATTAAAGTATTATTATTATTTTAACTTCATAAAAATTTAAAATATAACATCTGCAATTTTTAATAAATTCAAATTTTTCCATGAATCACCATATATATAACTTAAAATCTTGAGACACATGTTTTTGAGTTTTTTTTCTGACTAAGGAGATAAGAGCATGGTTTCAACCTATCAAGTCAAAGCAAAACAAGATACATCTTTTAATTTTTCTCTAGGCTTTCCATAAACTCTACATAATTCTATAGTAACAGTCAATTTTGTAACTCATTTGATAAAAATATGATAGTTTGCTAACTCAAAGCCAGCAACTGCAACTTCCTTTTTGTATATCTCGCCAAAAAATACATATACATCTAATGTATTTGTTAAATGATTAATGGCTGCAACGGTTGTATCTTCTTTTGCTAAAAAGCCTTCCAAATTGGAGATATGTACAGTATTAGCAAATTCTTTGTAGACGTCATCTTTCACATATTATTTTGTGTTTTTTTGTACAAGCATATAAATTGTCGATAGATCAAAAAAGATTTCTCAATTTTTAAGTTCTATAAAATTTCAATTTATCATATCTATAGATATTTGTGTAGAATATAAAATTTGAGTTGAAAATTCTTTTCCCTAACCTTAATTAGACACATCTATAACTCAAAACTGACCGATTTAATTCCTTTCCCTAACCTCTAAATCAACTAGGTGTACAACAAATTCTTATTTGGGATGTCCGTGATGGGCTTCTACGACATCTTCGCGAAAAGAAGGGACTGCGAGTCTTGCACCCAACTCCTCTGGCATTTGATCCACAAAATTTTGAAAATAAGAGATTAACAAAAAGGTTATAATATTTTTTGGACAAAAAAAAAATCAAAAATCTACCCAAAATGTTTTTGCAAGATGATACTAAAAACGTATGTCTCTGTTTGTAATGGTTTTACTTGCTACATGTTGATATCTATTAAAGACTCGTTAATTATAATTGGGTTTTAACGTAAAAGTAAATTTAGAATAGAAATAAGTATTGATACTACCTTTACCGCCATTGTTATTATGCACGTAATTTTAAGATTACAAATTTGGTATTAACACTTAGGATTTATTAAAAGTAGTAACGCAAAAAGTTTATGCGAATACAATTGATCGCGACGTACGCCGGATACCCTAAGTAACTATATATTTATGAAGCCATAACTAATATTTACAAACACATATACCAATTTGTGACCGACACGTTATCTATAGTTTCTCTTATTTCGCGACACTACTAATTAGAAGTGGGAAGCAAAGGCAAATCAACCTCATCAGACCACTCAACACATCTAGTCTCATAAAACGAAGTGTTTAACTTGTTTGGCCAATACGTTAACCAAATTTTACCACCCATTCTCCACTTCAACACACTTCCTTCCATCTCTCTCCCAACTCTCCACCCAACTTCATCTCCATACTCATCTTTTCCAAACACCATTCCTCCACTCTTCGTAAACACATTCTTTAAACCCTCTCCGTTCGGGTTCGGCTTCCCGGTCGTCACTTCTTGGCCGCTATCTTTATCGTACAAGACCGCGTCAAAAACCGCAGCGTTTCCTTCGCTGTCCTGTTCGATTCTCCAGTCTTTAACCTTCTTCTTTGTTGACATTCTTGCTCTTGCCTTAACTCTCGGAGCCACTTTCCCTTTTCCGAAGTTTCCCTTTAGAACTCTCGTCACTTCGACCTCTCTCTCCTCGTTCTTGGTCGACCGTCCTAGGCTTAGCCCGGACACGTGGCTCGACCCGATTTCTGGCCCGAGCCAGACCCTTACCCGGGATGGGAAGTACTTCTCCTCCGAGTAACAATCCGCTATCTGACTCTCCACGCCAACTCCTCCTTTCTGAAACCCTAGCTTCGACACGTGGATGCGTATGTTGTCAACACGTGCGTTCACTTTGATGTAGCTCTCGTGGAACTTAACGGAGTATTCAAACTGTACGAGTACTTCGACTTGTTGGTGAGACAAAGCGTAACGTAAGACAGCTTCTTTGGGCTCTACGAATGGAAACTTGACGATTTTGTTCTGAAGCTCGTTAGAGCTATTATTTGTAACGTTCATTGACAAGATTGGGAAATAGCCTTTCAAGATCCAAAGCCCATGAGCTTCGGTTGCATAAGAAAACCCCAAAGATTGACGTGGCATGAGACTGTTGCTGAACTGTTTCAACCCGAGGTTCCCTAGTCCCACCTCCTTAGAGATCATCCATTTGGATAACGCGTAAGAAGCAGCACGTACGATGCAAAGCTCAGCGTCTACACCAAGGGAGACCAGAAACGTTCGTAACACAGGAGCTTGTTGACACGTAAGTGCGTTCACGTGTGGACCAAGTAAGTGTTGGAAGAAGAAAGAACCTACTTCACTAGGAGCGTTGAATACACACAACCAAAAGAGACGCATGAGGAGGATTAGGTTAAACACCGAAGAGAAAGACTCGGGTGAGTGAGAGTCCATGACCCAACTAACCGGACCTGGTTTGATCTCAAGTAGCTCAGACGACTTTGTGCACGCACCTTCACGTGAGGTAGGAGAATGGGAGATTAGTTCTCGAAGAAGCTGGAGAACCAAAGGGAGAAACGGTTTCTCCGAAGACAAGAGACATGTGTCCGAGACCCATATGGTCGGTCTTTCAAGGCGGTTGAAACCTTCTACTATCACTTTGAAGGTGAGAGAGTGAGAGTCTGGTTCAGAACTAGAATCCCATTCAGCTCTAAGTTTGATGGAACGTGTTAAGTCACCTGCCAGCTGAAACACTGCGTGTGAATGATCAGACTCGACGAACTCAGGAGATTCTGGTAGCTCGCATATCCATGACCATGGATCCATTGTATTTTCTTGGACTTGGTTCATTTTTCTTAGAAAACTGTGTTATAGTAGAATCTTTTATGAGAGATAATTATATAGAGAGGTCGTGTGGAGGAGGAGAAGCCATGAAAGAGACTAAACTAATCAAAGACCCTTCAACGAAGCCATCACGGATACTATGAGGATAGTATCATATTAGAAAAAAATATGTGGCGTTACAATATCCTCATTAATGCATTGTTCTTGTTTTCTTGTTTGGATATTTGGTTTATAAAGAACCACGACCACACTTATTTTGCATGGAGGAGGTAAACAAAGGGGACGTGGAGTTTTAACGTTTTCTCACTTGTGGTGTATGCTACGTGTTGCATGGATTACATTCATTTTTTGATCACATAAAAGAGTGAATATATTAGAATATAAATGAAGTAATTAGAATATGTACAAAAAATACATTTCATTGAAAACGATAGACAATGTTGGATTTTTCATTGATAACATACTAAACATCGAGAAAATGCCAAAACAAAATTGTAGCCTTGTAGGGTATATATTTTGGAACATATGGTGATATATTTGGTTGTTTATTTACCAAATTATTACTATAACATTATCAAAATCTTATAATATATATACGTATGTCTTGAGACATCAGTAATGGAGCAATGATAGTAGGTAAAGTTGTTGACATTTACCAATGTATTATACAAACAATATATTTAATTAGAGGTCTCTATCATCCTTAATATTGTGTCTGTTCTGTAAATCGATCATGTGTTGTTGTTGTTCTCTTAACCCTTGTAATGATTCTTGTAATTAGTACCATTGTATAAATATCAGGAAATATAATTACCACATAGCAATTATAATCGACTTTCTTGAAAGATAGAACATAAACTAACAATAAATTTTAGGAATATCTCGAATTTTCTTACATTTTCAAAAAAAAAATTAGGAATTTAATACATTTCGTATTCAAAATTTGTAAAATAGACACTTCTCACTGTTCTTTTTTTTATATCCCATTTTACCATTTGAAATATGTTTATTTACCAATTCTGCCACTCAATGATTAATCACACTATTTTCTTTTTTTTTTTCTTTTTCTTCCTCTCAATATAATCGGAAGAAACAAACTCCCTCCCTTGAACCGGGTCCTTCAACAAATTTTTTTTTTACTTTTAGATTTAAAAAAAAAAGAAAGGAAACCAATCGCGGACCGCCACGTGTCAGTGTGGCCGCGATTAGTGAAGGAAGAAGCGCAGGACCGTCCCGTTTTAGTTGACGTCGCACAGATTTTTATTCTTGTTTTTTTTTCAGAAAAAATGAGGGATTCCCTCTACTAACGCTCATGCAGCTGCCCTTCGAAATTTTTATTTATTTATTTATTTATTAGGTTTACCCCTTCAATCTAATAACTAATATACTTGTCATTAGAACTTTTTATGTAAAATTTGTTAGGCATATAAAAATCTATATTTTTTCTCTACTATTTGATATACATTTTATTTGATGATATTTATATGTACATATATTATATTGTACAAATTTGTACATGGATCATATTGTACAGATTTGTACATGGATCATATTGTACATATATCTATACAATTGTTTAACATTTGAACAAATTATTATATGTACATATATATTCTATTGTATATATATACAATATACATATATGTATAGTTGTTTACTATATGTACATAAAGATGTATGTACAAAAGTATAGAACTAGACATAATTATATTTGTATAAACTGTTTGTACATAAGAATATATGTACAAATACAACTGTACATATACGACTGTACATATACAACAATATAGCTTTGATTATTGTATAGAAAAATGTATGTACATAAATGTTTGTTCCAAAAAATGTCTGTATGGAAGAATATATTAATAATTGAATTTACTAAGACCATCTCCACTCATTAACCTATTTTTTTTTTTTTGGTAAATTGACGGGAGTTAGTGCCCTCCCTATGTTTTATTAAAATAAAATAAAATTATACAATAACGTTTCTTGGCCGAGGGGGACCAACCATATCCTCGTGTAAAATCGACGCCACATCCGGCGGAATAACAACAAAAGAATAAAAACCTAAAGGTAAAGAAAACGCATAGTTCGCTAACCCATCTGCAAGACGGTTAGCTTCCCTATACACGTGAGAAATACGGACAATCCAGTCCTTTGATAAAAAGCCATAGCACAAACGTATTAGGAAAGACAACGGATGAGAATCCTCAACCCCTGTCGTTAGAAGACCGACTACCAACTCCGAATCCACATCCAACTCTAGCCGTGTGATACCTTTCTCCCAAGCCATGTAGAGCCCATAGTAAACTCCCCACAATTCTGCTAACGGAGCCGTACAAATCCCAATATTAAAAGAGAAGCCACCACACCAGTTCCCGTCCGCATTCCGTAAGACTTCTCCCGCCGTTGCTAGCCCAGGGTTCCCCCGCGATGCACCGTCGGTATTCACCTTGAACCAGCCATCAGGTGGTGGTTTCCATGCGATCAGTCTCTCCTCCCGCACAACCTTGCTAGACCGCCCTCGAAGTCTCTTGTGGCCATCCGCTACCTCTTTAGAAATGTCTCTAATAAAACGCACCCGATCACGACATTTACCCGTAACGCCAAAAACATTACCACATCTCCATTTCCACCCCCACCACACTGCCATAGCAAAAGTCGTCGCCCAAGGACAGTGGCTAACCTCCGTAGTAGTGCTTAGATTAGCATAAACCCACTCCATTAAGGACTGATCAAAAAACGATCGTTGCTTCCGTGGCGGTACTAGTCTTTTCCAAACCCCGGACATGGCCGGGCAGTCACGGAGGGTATGTAAGATGGGCTCTTCCCCGCCCTTACAAACTTGACAAGTACTCGAATCACATAAGTGCCGACGAAACCGTTCTTTGTTAGTCATAATCGCTTGATGACTCACAAGCCATAAGAAAACCCGAACTCTCTCCGGAGCAACCACTTTCCAAACCTTATCAAAAAACTTTCCCATGTTTGGTTTAGGAGCAACGTCCCGCGATAAGAAGGTATAGGCTGACCGCACCGTGAACCGGCCATCCGATCCACCCCCCAAAGCTAGACGATCATGTGCACCCGTGACCGTATCGACCACCAATGCTCCCAACTGAAGCCGCAAATTTTCCGAAATGTAAGGAGATATACGCTGCAAATTCCATCCCAAGTCGTTCTGCCATAAGTCCCTCACTGTAATCGCATCATAGTTCGGTGGTAGAGTAGTCACCACAACTTCACAAATGGGTGTACTAGTTAGCCAGCAGTCCGACCAAAACCGAATATCCCGACCATCACCCAAACTCCAGCTCTTACCGGGGAGAACTACCTCACGTAACCCAGTCCCAATACTACGCCAAGTAGAGGACCATGAACTCTTCACCACCAGCCAAGTCTCATCCCGAAGGTTTCCCACCTTATACTTGCTACGTAGAACCCGCGACCATAGGCTAGAGTGATCATGCATTAACCGCCATCCGGCTTTAGCTAACAAAGCTTTGTTCATGAGTTTGGAAGAGCGTATACCAAGCCCGCCCTCCGATTTCGTTAAGCATACACTGTCCCATGATATAAGATGTTGCTTTCTCTTTTCAACCGTGCTACCCCACAAAAAAGAACGTGAGATCTGATCCAATCTTTCCAAAGTCGCCTGCGGCATTAAAATGGTTGTCATTATGTGAATCGGAATTGACGACAAGACCGACTTAGTCAAAGTTATCCTCCCAGCCAGACTAAGAAAACGCCCTCTCCAACCAGATAATCGGGCCGCAGCACGCTCAATAACCTCACCAAAAGTATCCTTGTTGATCCGTTTGTGAAGCACCGGCATACCCAAATATTTCCCCAGCTCTCTAGTGGCTTTGATCCCGCTTTCCTCACTTATTTCCTTCGCAAGATCTCTATGCACGTTATCTGAAAAAAATATCTTCGACTTCTCGAGACTCACTTTCTGACCCGAGGCTTCACAAAAATTTTCCAACACTTTCCGTATCACCCGGACCTGAGCTACGGATGCTTCTGCAAACAAAATAAGATCATCCGCAAAGCAAATGTGGGAGAGCTTTGGACCGCCCTGAGAAAGAGAAATAGGCTTCCAATCCTTCCTCGCTATAGAAATCTCGATTTGATGACACAACCGTTCTAAGCATAAGACAAAGAGATAGGGGGAAAGGGGATCCCCTTGTCTGAGACCTCGGGCTGGTTTGAATGGTTCAGTCTTCTCACCATTCCATAGGAGAGTCATCGAGGGACCAGCTACACATTCCATGATCCAAGTCCTCCAAGTTTCCGAGAGCCCCGCAGCCAGAAGGGTATCTTCAAGAAAATCCCAACGAATACGATCGTAAGCTTTTTCGAGGTCAAGCTTCAGCAACATCCACCCTTTACGTCCCTTTTTACGTCTTATCGAATGCACTGCCTCTTGCACAACCAATATATTGTCCGTACTCAGTCTTCCCGGAATGAAGCTAGATTGAGCCGGCCCAATAAGCTTAGTTATGACTTGTTTCAATCGCATTACCATAGCCTTGGTTATGATTTTGAACAACACATTACAAAGACTGATCGGTCGAAATTGCATTATGGTTTCCGGCTTCACCACCTTAGCAATCAAGACCACCAAAACATCATTTGTCCCTTCCGGCAACTTCTTTGTCTCAAAAAACTCTAAGACGAAACGTGATACCGATGGCCCGACAACATCCCAGCAGTCATGGTAGAATACGGGTTGGTATCCATCCGGTCCTGGTGCTTTGAATTTTCCCATACTTCTGATGGATTCCTCAACTTCCCGAGGGGTGAAAGGTCTGTTCAAATAATTCCGTTCGGAGTCCGTGAGTGCAGCAAAGCCCAAGTGAGGTAAACCCGTAACTACCTCGTCAATATCCGTCGTAGAGTAGAGTCTCTTATAATACTCAGTCGCAAGAGTCTCCAAATCCTGAGGAGAAGAAACCCACAAACCCTCATTATTTTTCAAGCTCTCGATCCTGTTTCTACGCCGACGTATAATTGTCGAAGTGTGGAAATACTTCGTGTTTCTATCCCCGTCAACTATCCATTTTTCCCGAGACTTCTGATACCAAAGTAGTTCCTCTTGCTCAAGCACCGTGTCTAACTCTTTGATCAAAATCTCCTCTTTCGTCAACAGATCATCCGTCTGAGCAGCATCTAACGAGTCTTGAACCAACTTAATCTCCGTCAGAAGCTTCGTTTTTCTTTTATGAATATCACCAAACACTTCACGGTTCCACGTTTTAAGTTTTAATCTTAAACCATCCAAGGCAGCAGGAGTAGAGAGCTCATTTTTCCAAGAGTGGGTGAGAATCTCTTGAAAGCTTTCATGATTAAGCCAAGCAGCCTCAAACCGGAATGGTCTACGTTTTGGGTTCCCACTGTTGACCGGACACAACTTCAAATAAAGAGGTGCGTGGTCTGAAGCTAACACTGGTAGGTGAGTCCCTGTTGCTTCTTGCCATTTCAAACGCGCATGAGGACAACAAAGAATTCGATCCAACCTTTTAGCAACGAAAGTGCTCTCCAACTTTCCCCTCCTCCAAGTAAACCGACTTCCCTTAAAACCCATATCAATTAAGGAGAGCTCGTTTATCCAACCACCAAAGGCCAGTGAGTCCGACGACAAACGGCCATTCCCACCGGTTCTGTCGTCCAAGCGGATGATAATGTTAAAGTCCCCCCAACTATCAAGGGATCATCAATCGCTGTGATCACTGATTTCAAACTCCCCCAAAGCCCACTCCGGCGACTAGCCGAAGGAGCAGCGTACACCGCAATTAAGTGCACTTTCTCCGCACTATTCTCAATCGTCGCATGGATAAACTGGTCCGATGACTGTACAATCGAGACTACACCCACTGCAGACCGCCACAACAACCAAATACCCCCACTCTGACCCTCATCATCGACTCTAAAAGAGTTCTCAAAACCAAGGTTCTGGCAAATGCGCTGTGCTCTATCTCCTCCAGCGTGAGTTTCAAACAGCGCAACGATATCAACATTAAATTTCTTCATAATGTAACGAATCGATCTTCGAAAGTTGGGTTTGTTCGCCCCCCGGCAATTCCAAAAAAGACAATCCATTAAGACTTCACAAAGTAACCGTTGGATCACCGGGGCGAACCGTCAAACCACCGTCGTAACCTCTCCCACAGCCGACTGAGCACTAGGTGTGCCCGTTGCTCTGGTATGTGGATTCTCAGTCGACTCCTCCCTTGAAGCCTCTGTAGAAGACGGGGTCATGTCAGTCAACGAGCTAGTCCTCAGCCGATCACCACTCTCTGGTGTAAACACGCCACCGGGTCGGCCCACGAAGCCTTCCTCAACCCTGAGCCTTTTCCCGGACACATCCAAATCGCTATCTTTGCGTTGTGACCCAAAAACTAGGCCCCTAGTTGGCCGATTCTTAATGACTTTAGGCCTAGGCCCATTAAACTCATTGGGTTTATTGCTCCCAACTTTAGTCTTTTTTAACGCTACCCTCTGTCCCTTCTTCTTTTTTTCAAAACCTCCACCAGCCGCCCTATCTTGAGTAACACTCTTCCCTTGATTTCCTCCTTGCGTAATACCCTCATTTTCCTTATTCTCCTCATTCGAAATCACAACTTCCCTTAATCCCGAGGCAATCGTATCTTCCACCAAGCTCCCAAACTTATTGGAAATTGTCATTGTTTCCTTATTCCCATTTCCCGAATTAATGCGAAGATTCCTCTCCGATCTCCCACCGGCTGCAAACACCACCTTATCCGCCGGGACTGAAGTGTTCCGACCAGGACGTCGCACAGCCGTAAAACCATCGCCTTGTTGATTTATCACCTGAGGAGTTGCTACTATCGGCTGCTCCACCACTGGTTCCACCGGCCGTCGGGGGCAATTATGCACCAGGTGACCAAACACACCGCAGCCCGAGCATATGTTCGACATACCCTCATAGGCAACATAGTATCTTTCCCCATTGATCATCACTGAGCCCTTAAGTGGCTTGGATAGATTCACTTCCACACATACTCTCGCAAACCTTGCCCTTTCAATGTGTAAAGTAGTCAAATCCACTTTTACTGGCTTCCCCAATCCACTAGCAATACCAAGCAAAATATCCTCCTGATAGAAAATCACTGGAATGTTCGACAGGCGGACCCAAACTGGTGTTGTAACTATGTCATCGCGAAGTGGGTTAAAATCCGGTGACCAGTCCTGAACCAGTAGATAGCTTCCAAATACTTTCCATGGCCCCCCCGTCAATGCTGCATGATACTCGTCTTCCCGATCAAAGCGAATCATAAAACACTGCCGAGGCAAATCCAACACATACATCCCCCCATTAGGCTTCCATAGCTCTCTCAGTTTTCGACTCAACGCCGAGATAGCTACGTTCCTTCCCAAAACCTTCACGATAATACATTGCTTCCACAGCCCCTTCATCACATCCATCACTTCAGACCCAATTGTAATAACCGGCTCTCCATCCTCTCCATCCGGGAATTCCACCTGTAACCTCTCGGACACAAAGGCAGAGTTTAACACCTTCTCTGGTGCAGACCTCCCACCTACTTCACCACCAGTCACCTTGCTCACCCACGAAACAACCTTATCAGGCGGATCTCCTGGAGGACGCCCCTTCGCCCCGGCATCCGTCATAGTTGCATCTTGTTCAGTGACCACCGAAACCCTAAAATCGCCGTTGAGGGCCATCTTTTTCTCAGCTTATTGCGACTTATCCCCCGGTTTATTAAATGTCCTTATCTCTTGCTTTGTCATATAGGTTTTACA